CGATGTGGGTGGTTGTCAAAATTAGGGCCCCTTTTTGGCTCCCTGTTATAATACGGCACCTAATATTTAGGGTACCCAAAAAGGGACCTTAATTTTGACAACTACCCATGTGGAAAGCCCGGTGACAGAGCCGAAGCCAAAACCTTTGGCCGCAAAGCCGTCCAAGCCGCCCCCCTCGCGTTTCGGCACCAACAATGCAGACGCCTAGGACTCCATGGTTAGGGTTTAGAGTTTAGGGTTTGGGGTTTAGGGTTTAGGGTTTAGAGTTTAGGGTTTAGGGTTCAGGGTTTAGGGTTCAGGGTTTGGGGTTTGGGGTTTAGGGTTTAGGGTTCTGGGTTTGGGGTTCAGGGTTTAGGGTTTAGGTTTAGGGCATAGCTCCCAAGGCGAAGCCACTGCCAGAGGAGCAGTGCCGCAGCTTTCCATCGGCAGCTTACTCGTTTGGGTTGGGGCTCCCATAACACATGGGTGGTTGTCAAAATTAGGGTCCCTTTTTAGGTCCCCATAATAGTACGGCACCTATTATTTAACGTTACCCAAGAAGGGACCCTAATTTTGACAACCACCCAAATGTAGAAACCTGTGCACTTGCCAATATGACTCCTTAGGGTTCTCTTGTTGTATTGACACTACAAAAAAACGCAAAGCCCTGCGTAATGTTTAAGGCACCCATATTACCCAAAACACCGTGTGCTGAAACTTAAATCTGAAGATGCACCTTGCAGTCCTCTTCTTCGACAGGGTTTAGGGTTTAGGCAACCCTAAACCGCGCAGGAATGATGAATCTTTCTGCGGCTTCCCTGTCCCAGGTATAAGTAGGGTAATTTTAACGCTACGCCGCCCGCCTCGGCTGTGTAGCGGCAGGCTTTACACGGTTGTTGATACCAAGTGCAACGGGGGCAAGGGGGGGTGGAGGGGGCGGGCGAGGGGGGGGCAGGGGGCGGGGAGGGAGGGGGGAGGAGGGGGGAGCGGGGAGGAGGGGGGAGGGGGGAGGGGGGAGGGGGGTTCAGGCCTGGGACAAGGGGGTGGCAAACGAACGCAAATATAATAACTACCCATGAACCTCGAGTAAGCCACACCGAAAACCCGTTCCTGCGGGCCAGGGAATGTCGGAGTTCTTCGTCGGGCAGCGGGTGGAGTACTACAGCCGACTCCTCGGAAACCGGACTACCGGTGGCTCTGCGACACCCTAAACCCTAAACCCTAAACCCCAAACCCCAAACCCTTAAACTTTAGGGGTATCCGCAATTAATGGGAGCAAGGGGCTGGACCCTCAGTTTCCGGAACTCCCACTCAGACTCATGGGTAATGTAGGGTTCTGTATAGCAGGGATAAGGATTGAAGCAGCAATTGGGTTTGGTTAAGGTGTCACCCTGAACCCTACAGGGTAAGGAAGTGTGTCTTGCTTGCTTGGTCTCAGCACTGAAGCCTGATAGTCCCGAACCTCAGGACCTCAACGTGTGTCAACCCGAAGCAGAACAGCCACGCTTAACCTCAACATGGCTAGCCCATGTTACGAAGCGCTACAGGGCTGACAGAACTTCTGTGTGTCTGCGCCTGCGTGCTGGATATTTTTGTTTGGGGATTTTAGGTGGTACAAAGCAGAAAGTGTGAACCCAGAGACTCCAATATCCCTTAATTAAGGAATATACCTTAAATTATAGTAGGATCCTTCATATGATTCAAGGTATATTCCTTAATTAAGGGATGTTGGAGTCTCTGGGAACCCCAGCATCCTCCACCCCCAGACCTCACATACAATCCCCGCAGCTGCTGAAAGCGTCTTGAGCCCCCGGGAGCCTTGAGCCGGCTTCTAGGAATTCTTGCTACATGCATCCATATGGGGTTCAGGGGATGCGCTTTTGAGTCAGGATCCTGCTCTCCAGGGTCGATATGAGAGTTCGAGAAAAATGGCGCAAGTATACGACCTAAGGACTAGGATTCTGATCATAGGGACCTACAACATAGAGGCCTAAATGACTACTAATCTTATTCCTCAAGGTTTCGTCTAATACTTATACGATAGAGGAGCTCGAAATCCTATTCTAATTTTTCGGGCCCCTACATCAGTGTGAAAGAGAGTCCTATTCATTACTTGTGTCAGCGCCCTAAACCCGAAACCCCAAACTCAGAGCTCCAGTTCCCTACCCTAAACCCTAAGTTCTAGGGCCTTAAACCCTAAACCCTAAGTTCTAGGGCCTTAAACCCTAAACCCTAAGTTCTAGGGCCTTAAACCCTAAACCCTAAGTTCTAGGGCCCTACACCCTAAACCTTAAAGCCGAAACTCCGAGTTCCAGGGCCCCTTTCAGCCGCAGATCCTCAGTCCAGTACTTGGAGGGTCGGGGGACTTAGCAAGTAGGTAGTACGTAGACTTATAAGTACCCTAAAAGGGACCCTAATTGGGGTTATGGTACTTATAAGTCCCTAAAGTAACCAGTTACTAAGTCCCCCGACCCTCCAAGTAGTGTCCCCCTGTACCCCAAACTCTGCCTGGAGGCTCACGGGACGTAGTAGGTACCGTTGTAAGCCGGTTTAGGGTTTAGGGTTTAGGGTTTACCGTACCTGGGGTTGTAACGGATCATAAGTATAGGTACCTTTTCCCCTAGTTATACCAGGTTATACGTATAGTTGCCTTATCTATAACCCTAGTTGCGAAGTCCCATGAACCTTTAACTGGGCCCTGAAATTGAAAAGGTCCCTCCTTCTCCGAGTGGATTGAGTGCAAGATCTCGCTGGTGCCTGCCTTTCAGTCCTGCATCCTACGGTTTACCCATAGGCCCCAAAGTAGTTCCTTTTTGGGATTACCTTATAGGATTCTATATATATGAACCCCAAAAAGGAACCACTTTGGGGCCTTAAGGGTCGGCTTCAGGGTTGAGGATCCGAATATTGAGCAGCAGCATACGTTGCAGGCCCCATGGATTTGTACAATATGCACCAACACCCTATTCCAAGTGTTAAGGCTGCTGTGTCCAGCAACTTCAGCAACCCTTTGCCGTGAAGCCTTATCCCCTCAGGCTCTTGACCACCCTCGCTCTTCGCCGCAATCCTAAGCCCCAAACCCTGAACCCGAAACCTTAAACCCTAAACTCTGAGACCTGCGCCCGCCAGCAAAGAAGGTGATTTAAAATGTCTTTGAACCCGACAGAGCTGCAAAATTCTGTGAGGGCCATGATATTTGGGATCCCGAGTATATCCCTGATGAAGGCGACGGGTTAGGGTTTACGGCTTAGGGGTTCGGGAGTTAGGGCTTAGGGTTTAGAGTTTAGGGCATAGGGGATGAGGGTCAGGTTTCCACAGTGGCCCCGTTGGGCTTGGCGTTTATTCCTGTGGGTGCTATAGAGCCATTGTTTAGGGGTTTAGAGGTTTAGGGTTTGGGGTTTGACTAGTTAGTAATCCTACTCAACTCCCTCATGCTCCCAATATAGGTTAGGTATCGTGGACAATCCTTACAAGGTGTGTTCTAACTTTTAGTAAGAATGCTGCATTTCGTCGCAAGAATTCCCTGGCTTTAGCAGGCTGTAAAGACCCTAATGCAAAGCAAACGGGTTTGAGCTTGAGGTACAGTCTGTCATAAAGAAGTGGGCGGTTGTCAAAATTAGGGTCCCTTCTTGGGTCCTTATTATAATACGGCACCTATTATTTTGGGTGCCCAAAAAGGGACCCTAATTTTGATAACCACCCAAGTAGTTTACTCTGTCGCTAGGGTTTGGGTTCGGTCCTCCTCTATCTTCTATACCCACCAGCCTTAGCAACAAAAAGACGACTTGCGTCTTAATCAGAAGCTCTTCATAGGAAGCTTGAAAGCATGGACCGCTAGTAACGCTACTGTGGATGGACAAAATCCTGCATGACCCAATATAAGGAATATACCATACTTCCCATAGTTTAGGGTCCTTAAAGTCATGCAGGGCTTTGTCCATCAACAGTAGTAGGGGCTCTGAGGCCGGAGCCCTAAGTACGGACTGAGTTAGGAGTCTTCGAGCAAACTTGGAGGGTCGGGGGACTTAGTAACTGGTTATTTTAGGGACTTATAAGTACCATAACCCCAATTAGGGTCCCTTTTAGGGTACTTATAAGTCTACTTACTACCTACTTGCTAAGTCCCCCGACCGTCCAAGAAATCACGGAAGCGATTTCACTGCCAAAGCTCTATGAGGAGCTTACCAAAGAGCTCAACCAGAAGCTTCGCGACTTGGATCAAGGCAAGAAGTTGCTCGGCGACGCCAAAGAGGCGGACGTTGTGAAGAAGAGCGAGGACATCACCATCCGCGGCATCTCCAAAGGTGTCAAGAGGACGCTTGCCATGAGAGCTGCCGGCAACTCCTTTCGATAAGGGTGTCGCGCTGTTCTTAGGACCTACACAGGGGCGTAACAAAACCCCTAAACCCTACCCTACAGTACCCCTCAAGGAAGCCTGCACAAAATTTTAGAAAACTAACCCTATCCTACACCTCCTTGGACGAGGTCCGCCCCGATGGCAAGCTGAAGCTGGAGCACGTGGATGGCAGCGGTGTTCTGAAGGACTCATGCTCCCAAAACCCGAGACATCCAGAAGGTTCTTTCTTGGATCTGTTTAGCGCCACAACCATCCGGCAGGTTAAGGTCACTTAGCTCAGGGGTTCGGGCCCTTGAAGCCACCAGAAGCCCCTACAAACCGCTTCTAAACCCTAAGCCCTGTTCCTGGACCGTTAAAAACCCGGTTAACTGTCTACACCCCTATCACCCTTCGCGCCCAATTCCCCCTGAACTCGAAAATTCCGAAAGTCTAAACAAGCAATGTCTGCAATTTTGGCTTCAGCGACTGTAGCGGACCTCTGGCTTTGGGGATTTGCATTCGCATCCTTGGCACGCAAAAGGTAAGACCCGTTCAATGAGTACAGCAAACAGGATTCAGGATTTAGGGTTATCGGTTCAGGGACATCGGTTTCAGGGTTGACGGTCAAGTGTTGCTATTCTAGTCATGTAAGTGTTAAGTACTGTCACTATCACTGACTTCAGACATGCCCTGGCCAAAGCTTTTTGGTGCCAAGGCACCCCCAACCCAGTTTGCATCACAGGCGCTTCGCCGAATGCAACACAAGCAGCAAAGGTCGCAGCTCCAGAAGATGATGTCCAACCGCCAGCTCAGATACGTCAGAGTCGAAAATGCCGATATCCTGCTCTTTGGAACCTCACACATTTCGAAGTCCGACCCCGCAGACATTCGGGATCTCATTAAGAAGCTGAAGCCTCACAGGATTTGCGTTGAGCTTTGCTACGAGCGACTGCCGGGGTTGCTGACAAGATATGGGGCTGAGGCTGTCAAGGAGCTTAAGCGTTTCCCAGACATCAGCGATCAAAAGGATGAGTACGGGCTGAGCCCTTACGGCGCCGACATACTGGCGGCGCTGCAATGCGCAGCTAAGCATCATATTCAGCATGTGCTGATTGACCGCCAGCAGTCTGTCACTGCTGCCAGGCTTGCTGCCAAGGTGCCAATTAGCGAGGTGTCCACATTCTGGTGCCTGAGGCCTTTCAGATTCGCGAGAAACGTGGTGGTCACCTGCGCTGTGGTGTTGCCAGCCTTCATTGCTAGCCTGGCTCTGCTTGTGTCATTCTGTCTTCCGAGATTTGTTTGGGTGATACCAGGATTGTGGTTGCTTCCAGTTGGTGCAAGTGAATTCCTGCGGTGGCTCCTCAGGAGACTCAGCGGCACTCCAAAAGAGAATTTGCAAAAAGCTTTGGAAGTCATTGACCGGTTGGAGCAGGAGCGACAAGCCTGCCTGAGCAGCAAGTCTGATGTCAAGCAGGCTGAGCTCGACGTCGATACTGTCATGAACGCATCGGTCATTACCACTGAGCGCGACACATACATGGCCTTCAAGTTGCAAGGCATTGCAAGGGCATCTCCGTCTGGGCTGGTGTTCGTGATCGTGGGCATGGGGCATCTTGATGGCATCGAAACAAAGTTGCTGAGGAAGATCAGCTCGAACGAGTTTGACAAACTTAGCATGAAACCTGTGCTGTCAGATGCCGACAAAATTCTCAAAAGGCCATTGCTGCGAAGCAGAGGAATCGACCTGAAGATCATGCGCACATTGCTGCAGTGGAAGCACATTGGAGCCTGACATGACAGCGCACTGCACTAGGATGGTCATAAGAAGTAAACAACACCCATGGCCGGCGGTTAAGCTGGATTGGCATGGTTCCGATCCCCAGTCAAAAATACACACTGATGATGATACATGGAGTTGTAAATGCTTGCAGTCCTGTTGTTATGGTCTCATGATGCATGCAACAAGTTGAAGAGTAAGAGTTGCAAAAAAAGCTTAAAACATCATCGATTGCGCTGTCCCTACAGCAGATGGCCATGGCAACATTTGGTGCCAGCAACAGCAGTAACTATGTCTCGGAAAAAGAGAGAGGTCTGCGTCAGTGCTTCCTTCGGCGTTCAGTGGGCGAGAGCTGAATAGTTTGTACGACTCCCTGGTTCTTAGGAGGGAATGGGGGAATGGGCCATAGGGCTGTAGGGACTATTTGAAGGAATCAAGTTAGAGATTCAATCAGTCCTATGACCCCTCAGCTATGCATCGGTTTCCGGTTTCGGATTAAATTTAGCAGCACGCGCGGCTGGAAGAGGACTTCGTATGTTGAACAGCAATACCAGTATGAACAGCATCTGGGGTGCAAGTCTTCAGGTTTTTTTGACTTAGAATAGGCCTTGAGCCTTGAAGCCCTAAACCCCTAAACCCTAAACTCTATCCCCTAAACCCCTAAACCCGTAAACCCCTAAACCCCTAAACCGCCTTGAGCCTTGAAACCCTCAGGCCCAAAATTTCCCCGACTCTGAAGCCGCAACCCCCCCCAAATGGGAAACTGCTTTCTTAGGGGGTACTTAGAAATAATTTTCACGTTTTGGTTATTATAATCCCTAAGAAACAGCTAAAATTGTAATTTTTGCTAGGGTTCGAAGTTCAGTATAGGCTATTCCAGAATATAACCCGACAGCTCGATGAGCCCCCGTATATCAGAACCCAAAACTCTAAACCAAAAAAAACCCTAGACTCGGAGACGGATTCAGCCATATCTTTGGCATATGAGGCCCCTGGCTTCGGCCATTGTGAAGCAAAGCGGGAAATCCGGATTGGGGCTTCTTCCTCAGGGTTTGGGTTGTACCTACTTACTTTGTGCTTTGCGTGCCATAAACCCTAAACCCTAAAACCTATATCCAGAGATCCCTTTGGTATTCTGCGGGTTTGAGATTGCTTGGTTTTCAGGTTCGGGGCGGTGGCACCTGGCCCAATCTTCCATTTAGGGTTTCAGGGTTTAGGGGCTTTTAGGCGTAGGGTAGGGTTTAGGGTGTTCACTTCCGAGTGGTGGCTAGTAATCGTACTCGATCGGACATTCGGTTTCCCGAATGCCTACTGGCCCGACTCTCCCTGACCGCTCGCACCCTTTCGGAAACCCTAGACCCTAAACTCTAAATCCCAAACCCGAAACCCGAAACCCTAAACCCCGTGATTTAAAAAACCCTAAATAACCCAAACCCTAACCTAAGCCCTAAACTCTAAACCTCTTTGTGTCATTCAGAAATACCTTCGAACCCCATCGGGAAGCCGCTGAGACGTATATCGTTATATCCTATTCAATCCCTCAACCCTAAACCGGTCCTATTCTGATTATTACTTGGAGGTTCATGGGACTTAGTAATTGGGGTTATAAACAAGGTAACTATACTTATAATTACTTGAAACACCAGCTAAGGTACTTGTAACTGTACTTACTGAGTCCCATGAACCTCCAAGTAGGGCCCCTATATCAAAAAAGAAGCCCTCGGACCCTCCCAGGAAGCCGCCGAGCCCTCCCGCGTGCGCGCGGCGCCGGGCAGCGGGGGAAAGCCCCCGAGTGGTGGAAAGGCCGGATCTCAGAAAAAGCTTTGAGGGGTTTGCTGGGTTCTATATAAGGAGTTCGAAAGTCTACTCTCGACGCCGAGATCAGCACTCCAAAGACACAGCCAATAGGCTTCCTTTAAGGGATCTATAAGGGTTCGTTTAAGGGTTTAGGCTTCAGGGTTTACGTTGGCAGGGTTTTTTTGTGAGTAATATGGGTTCTTACAAGGGTTCCTCCTAGAAGCGGGTTCCTGTAAAGGGCTACTATAAGGAGTTATCTATAAGAGTTGTTGTGGGTTCAAGATTTAGGGTTTAGAGTTTAGGGTTTCGAATTCAGGGTTTGGGGTTTCGAATTGAGGGTGTAGGATTTAAGGTGTTTGGAGCTGGGGGTTTTGAATGAATAATTACGGGTTTAGGGTTTATGTTTTAGTGTTCAGGGTATAAGGATGCACTATTAATACCTTAAGAGCCGCCAGTAAGGGTTTTTGAGGGTTGGGTGCGTGAGGTTCGGGGTTGCAAGGTGTAGTTATTTTTAGTTTCAGAATTTCAGAATGCAAATGTCGGAGACATGGTTTCAGACTTGGTTGCAGGGTGGGGTCACAGTTTAGGGTTCAGGGCATCTATATCTTAAACTACCATAGCCTATGTTTTTAGGTTCTTCGTATAAACCCTCACATGGAGTTTATAGGAAAACTGTAGGCTTCGGGGCTTCGCGCGGTGACCCCGGACACCTAGATTCTAGATTCGGTGGTTGTCAAAATTAAGGTCCCTTTTTGGGTCCTCATTATAGTACGGCACCTAATATACCAAAAAAGGGACCCTAATTTTGACAACTACGCGTTTAAGGGCCAACGAAGAAGTGGCACGACAAACCCACTCAGCACCTACTTCTGACGGGAGTGCAAAACTCGAAGCAACTACTTGGAGGGTCGGGGGACTTAGTAAGTAGGTAGTAAGTAGACTTATAAGTACCCTAAAAGGGACCCTAATTGGGGTTATGGTACTTATAAGTCCCTAAAATAACCAGTTACTAAGTCGCCCGACCCTCCAAGTACAGCCAACCCCCGCTTCAGCGGCATGCGCCGGGAACAACGGAAGTGACCAGGCTCGCATGACGTGCGTAAGGCGCGTAGGGCGAGGCCACATGGAACCTTGCGGGCGATGAACATGCGAAGAACGGGCAGCACAGGAAACCCTAAACCCTTAAACCCTAAAGCGCTAAACACTAAACCCGAAGGTTCGGATACTTTCATGCTCCAAGCAGGTGAGCTTCGCAGGGTCGAGGGGTCTCGAGAGCTTTGGCCAAAAGTTTGGGGTTTAGTGGTTTTAGGTTTAGTGGTTCAGGGTGTAGGGTTTACTGGTTTGAAGGTTTGGGGTTTTGGTTTTAACAGTTTTAGTGGTTTAGGGTTTGCGGGTTGAGGGGTCGACAATCTACCCATGCCCCTGAATGCTCGGGCTTTTGAAATTTTATCATAGTTGGGTAACATTTTACATTCCATGGGTACTTAAGCCCAATAAGGAATAAAAATGTACATTTTTTATTCCTATCCCAATAATGAATTAGGAAAGGATCCAGAACTCCGGCTCAGTTCCCTGAAACAAGCCGGGCTTTGTTTCTTTGTTTTTGTTTGATCCTGAAACCCTGCACTCTAAACCCTAACCGCAAACCCTCAACCCTGAACCCTGATAAGGCCCTAAACCCTAAACCCCTAAACCCAAAACCCTACACCCCCTAAACCCCTAAACCCTAAACCCAAAACCCTAAACCCCCGAAACCCTTAAACCCTAAACCGAAACCCCTAAACCCTAAGCCCTAAACCGGGTCTGAGAAATTCTGAAACCCGACAAAGCAGGCTCCCCCTGTTTCCAAGAGCGCTCCCTCCGTCGTGCCCGTGGCTTCTGGGCCGTCCCCTGGTACAAAGCGGCAGCTTCGGGGGTTTAGTGGCAGCTAGAAGGTTGGAGTTACCCAATACCAAAAAGGAGCCCTTTGTATTCCTCGGCTACTGGGCATCCTAGCAGGGGGTTTGGGGGGTAGGCCATTTCCGGATTTAGGGCGCGGGGTTTGGCAATTGAAAATTCAGTCGTCGGGGCTTTCGAGAGCTTAGGCCTTTAAGCCCTCAGTGAATCCCGGGTTGTAAATGGCAGACTTCCGGTAAATCGGGGTAGACCTCCCTAAACCCTAAACCCTTGTTTAAAAAGCAGAGCCTCATGAAACCCTAAACCGGGAACCTTGCCCTCAATCCGAATATAGGGGCCTTCTCAATTAGCTATACTATTTTTGGGCGTAAGCATCCAGTAAAGCGGGCCCCAAAAACCCTATTCTAACTATTAAGGCGCCTCTATAAGATCACGGATCTTGGAGCCCCTTGATACCTACAGGCCCAGGAGCTTTCCCTCGCATGCCTCCGAATTCAGCTCGAGATTAGGGTTGTGACGAGGTTTAGGGTTGAAAGTAGCGGTTTAGAGTCTAGTTCTGCTACCCCTCAGGATTGTAAACCAAGCAGATGAAGTGTTGAAGGTCACGTACTGTACCAAGCTTCTTGATTCTTATCGCTATTCCTATCCTAAGTTCGGTTTATCCTGAGTTAGTCCTGGCCTAGAATGGAGGCGTGCTGCCAGAAGCTGAGTAACACAGAAGCCTTGAATGACCTGTGTCATTCCTCAGGGCGCCTTCTTATAGTTGCACTCTTGCACATCCCCAAACCCGACCAATGTTATCCCTGAGCATTCCTTCAATGGGCGATGTTTACTCCTGAGGTTTCTTAAGGCCTTAGTATGATCATAGTGTGAGGTACGCCAAAGCCCTAGTGTAGTTACTCAGGACATAGCATCGTACTTGCACCGGCATGAACTTCCACATACTCGGGATGTGATGGCAGCCTTCCACATTTCTTGGTTAGGGTTTTTATTTGTTGCATTCAGGATGACATGATTCCTGCCCGAAGCGGCTAGATCCGAAAGGCTTGAACCCTGCAACAGCAAAAGCTGTGAAGAGCAGGCTGTGTAACTTCCCTACACTTTAGCGCAGGGTAGAGGGTTTGGGGCTCAATTTCAGATCCCTGCGAATACAAAGCCATGTAACCGTAGCTGCATTCAATCGGAATCACTACTTTGCCTTTTGCTGATGCTGCAGCTGCTGCCGGATCGGGGATGCAGCGGGCAGGGAAGAAGTATTTGGAGACGTGTCAGCGTCATCGGAAGCTTGGGTAAGTGTCATGAACTTGGCGATACGGTTTGGC